TTAATTTGGGATTTAGGAACAAGCTAGGTATCCTTCTGATGTACAGGTAGATCTCCTCTCAAGATCCTACACCTAATCTCTGGACTGTGTCGGAATCCTCTAGTATTTTGGTGTTGTGTGACTTTAACCTCCTTGCCTTTGGGACTGGATCAGGAAAGGCAACTTGATGATTATCATAGACTTGTCTATGTTGAACTTCATTTTTGTCTTGGAGCAATTGTGCTGTGATCTGGATATTGAAGGCATTCACCTAGCTCTTTGCTGTGCTCAATAACTTCCAGTCACAGAAGTTTTATTGCTACTGGGGACTTCCACAGGTTAGGGAAATCTGTTAAGATCTGATACTGTAACTCATGCCTAATTTGTTATTTATTTGGATCACTGCAATCTTCTGTATATGGTGTTACCTTTGTAGACAACTTGGAAACTGCAGTTGATTCAGAATGTAATGAATTGCTGGCTGGCTGGCACTCACCACCATGAACACATTATACCTACCTTGAAGCCCTGCATTGGCTACCAAATGGGTTCTTGGTGTAATTCAAAGTGCTGCTTTTAATCTGTAAGGACCTTTCTAGCTTACACTGGGTGCTTGCAGGACCACCTTCTTAAACCGGAGTTGATGCATCTGACATGATTATCCTGGGGAAAATTTGTGGTACCCCATTTTCATTAGATGAAGTTCACTGAAGCAAGATGTTTTTAATAATGTCTCCTTTTAGAAGCTATATTATTTCTGTGGTTGCCTTAGAGAAGTCAGTTAAAATAGAGTTCTTTGGAGGATGTTTAGGGATTATTGAGATGTTGCCATCCATGTTTGTTGGTTGTTGCTCCATTCATTTCATTTTTTATCCTTACTACTTTCTTTACCGTGGATGTTTTTTCTTTGGTTTTTTGGTTTTGCATTTACTTTGTTGTTAATCACTAGGAGACCTTGAGGGGTGGTATACAAATTTAATAATAATTTTAGCCTGCTGCTAGAAGAACAACAAAAGGGATTTAGATTAATTTTCCTTGGCAGGTTTTCCACAGCCTTAAAACAGCTACCAAAAAGTTCTTTTGTGATGATGACGATGATGACGATGATGATGATGATGAGAGAAGAGCCAACAACTGAACTAATGCTTCATAATTATAACATTTATTAATTTTCAATCCTCTGCTCCTTCCTTTCATCTTTCAAAATAGATAAAGATATTTAGATAGACAACAGTTCCAGGGCCACCAATTTGTATGGGTTCAATAAATGATAACCAGTTATTTTCTACAGACCAGCTATTTTTCACTGGGTTTAAATGCTAACATTACTGTTTTTATTTTTGTAGCCACACTGAAATCCAAGCATGGGAAAGGCAGACAATGAATTAATTTAAAGGATGCTACATTCTCAACAGTTCACATTACAGAAGTTGGATTTAACAGTGACTTGATAATTACTTGCTGATTTAGTAAAGCCAGAGTTGGTTGTCAAAGTCAATATATAATGAATGCCACTAAGGATATACTGTTTAGATGACTGATTCATAAACATTATTGTACTGAAGACTGGCCATTCTGCTTTGCTTACTTTTAGGGCTCACTAAATTTTCTTATCTCTTAACTATGGAAGGAAGATTGAAGATATTTGTCCAGCTACTTCCACATGAAATCTGATGCTCTCCACTTGATTTGATTCATCACAGTATGTCTCCTTTTCCTCCTCAAAATACTTCTTCAAGAAGGGAAGGCTTTTCCTGTGAACTTCCTAAGTCATTTGCTAGGCCCATGTCCAAATGCTTCCCACTGGGGAACTTAATCCTTTCCACTGAGTTCCATTAATCTTCTTTCCATTCATTCAGATTTCATCCAGCCTTTGCAGTAGTGCTGATGACACAAGCTGTTTTTTCATTTCAGGTTAACAATTTACATGGAAAAATCAGATTGCTCACAGCAGAGATGTTTCATTTCATTTAAAAAAAAAATCCCATCATTCAGACACACACATGCATACATATGTGCACATGCGCACACGCACACACACGCAAATTTAAGAACCAATGTCTTCAGTCAACAGGAGAAGAGGACTCATGCTGACATTAAAATTGGGGTAAGAACTCCCAGTTCATTTTCTCATGCACTGAGCTGAATCTAGATTTAATAGTACTTAAGGCATACCTATAGAAAACAGTGGGAATGAATACTCACAAATTAACAATGTCTTATAGATTTCAGTGGATCTCCTCTAATTTATAGTTTGGTTTGCTTATTTATTTAATCATTGATGTGGCCCCCCACCTTGCAGATGCAACTCTGGGCAGCTAACAACACATAACAACAGCTGCCTATTTCATATTTCTATTTTTGTGCTACTTCTTTAGAAAACAACCAGCAATAAGCCCTAAAAGATGTTTTCTGTAAAAATAGATAACATCTCCTTTAAATCAAGCTTAATGCCTGGTACTTCTTAGACTTATCAATGTTGTGTTGTAGCAGGAATGGAAATTACTTGTTGTTAAATTCTTCCAATCCATTTTTCCCCCCCCCCCCCCCCCCACACACATTTTACTTCCCTATCTAATTTACAGCTATGGAATTTTTGAGTGTGGTCTCATCCAAACAGTAACCAGATCTGATTCTACTTAGTTTTTTGAGATCAGCCAGTCAGCTAGATGCTGCCACCTATCTGGGCTTTCTTAGGTTAGATATAAATATATACTTCTGCACGCCATAAAAAATGGGATATTGAGAATTGGGCTCACTGAAGAAAATTTAGACATAGATGTTAATGTAGAGAATATACATTTCATCAACATAAATTTAGAGAAGGTCTGAAGAAACCAAAAATGGGAAAGTATCGCTTGAAACTCCAGAAGGAGATACTTCAGTGTTTTCTGCTGGCTTAGATTCTATTGCTAAGACAAAGGACTTTAGAAAATTTTGTTGCTAAGAGAAATGATACAATAGCATTATCTGATTTCACAATGGTTCAAAAGAAAAACTGTTTGGTTTTAAGGATTTTTTTAAGAGTCAGATCATGGTATTGTCTAGCTTAGCTTCACAAATTGATAGGATTTTGTAAGCTTTCATACAAAAGCCTTTTGTAGTCCTCTTTGGAGATGCTAGAGATAGGAGTCAACAATTTAATTTAATTTAATAATTTAATTTAATTTAATTTAATGCATTTGTTCTTACAATGGTTCTACCAGTTCTTCGATGAAAGCGTCTTTGCTTAGAAATTCTTTTGAAGGAGAAAATAATTTCAGATAAATTCTTGTGAATGGAGTACCATACATTTATTTCATTTGGAGTTTGCCAAGAGGTGTGAGTGATTGTTCTGCCTTTCTTTGTACAATCAACTCTTCCATATTCTTCAGCCTCCCTGGCTTCTCACACTTCAGCTAAACCCCAAGTGTAGATCTCAAGAAGGATGTCTTCCATGGATTTTTTCAGTAAAGTGCTTCTGTTATTTCTAATAAAAATCTTGAGAAACTATTGAAGGATTTTTGTTTATTTATTTATTTTATATGGCCACCCATCTCACCAGGCAACTCTGGATGGCTAACACCCTAAAAACATCCATATAATTCATATCAAAAAATAATAAACACATAAAAATGTACCAAGCAAATAGCAAAGAATAGCATCTGAGGATAAACCCATAAACAACAAATCCAAACAACTAATGAGCTCAACTACCTCCTGACCCCCATATCTGGGATAAAAGCCAGGTCTTAAGAGTTTATGAAAGGCCAGTGGAGTCAAGACCAATCTAATCTCGGATGGAATGGTGTTCCATGGGGCAAGTGCTACAACAGAGAAAGCACACTTCACTCATCCTGCCAAATGACACTCTTTAAATGATGGGACCCGGAACATGACCTCCTACCAGATCTGATGGGATGAGTAGAAATCATTAAAGAAAGGAGGTCCCTTAAATATCCCAGCCCCTCTGCCCTTACTTTTGGTAAGACTATGGAAGAAGAAGAAACAAGCAAAGCAAGTTGTCATCTAATGAACTAAGCAAATTGTTCTTTCGTGAAAAGGGTGGAAAGGATTGATGTCTGTGTCTTGTTTATACCTTGGGCCCTGAGCATTTGAAAGTGCACATTTGGCTTGGTGCACTTCCCTCTGCCCTACCTACTTGTGACATACTCTTTATCAAAATAATGTGAGTTAATTCTTCTTCAGCATAGGAGTTTCAACTAGATTATGTTCTGGTTCTTTTTTTCAGTTTAAACATGATATGATTTAAAAGGTCTTTTTTCCCATCCCACACCTTTGATAGACAGCAATATTAAGGGTTTGACAAAGCACATTGAAATGAAATCAAAATCTCACCCAACGTATGTGCAACTCCCACTTCTGCAGACTTTGCTTGGCTGCAGCTGCAATCATATGCTTAACCTCAGAGGTTGAAAGGTTCTGCAGAACTGGAGAAAGTTCACCTCTGTCTTCACAGGGGATTTCTAAGCACTTTCTTGGCAGCCGGCCACCTCCAGGTGACCCACATTGAAACATAGCAGGCAGACAGTTCTGTGTGTTTATGCAAATATTCCCTCCTTCATAATTGCTATATTGTTCTGATTCCAATTTATTACAGTTAAGTATTTCTGATTCATAATACTTCATTTAGAAAAAAAGTATTTACATGAGAATATATCAACATTAGCATGTGCTTTTTCCTTTTGGTTGTATAAGCTGGATAATTTCTACCTATAGGCCATCTTTTTGAGGAAAACTATAATTTGCTTGAAATAATAAGGGTGATACATTATTGTAGCACAAGCTTTTATGACCTGGAATATACTCCATTGGATAATATGGAATCTAGTCCACTATAATAAATGTGTTAGCTTTTAAAGTCCTGTTTAGATTCTATAGTTTTCAGTGTAACACACTAACATAACTTCTCTTCTAGTATTGTCGAAGGCTTTCATGGCTGGCATACGATGGCTGGTGTGGGTCTTCCGGGCTGTGTGGCCGTGTTCTGGAAGTTTTGTTTCCTAATGTTTCGCCAGCACCTGTGACCGGCATCTTCAGAGGGCAGGAGCACAGACAGGAGCAGTTCTCTCTGTGCCCAGGGTTCTCTTCTAGTAGTTGATACGCTGGTTGCAATTAGTTACTGTACATACTTTCAATCCATTGCATAATAACTGATAATTCCTCAGTGCAATTTGCACTGTGTGCTAGAAGTGGAAAGAAGCTTCATTATTTCTCTTACAGTTTTCTAATTATTTGTTTGATTCAAATGAACCAGTGAATCATACAGCAATGAATCATACAGTAATTACAAATGAACTTAACAGGGATTTTGCCACATCCAGCTTCTCTTCTCATTCTAGTAGAGGAGACAGGCAAGAAACAAGAACCAGACCTTTGATTAATGTTGTATTTGGACAACTGCAGAGGCCCTAGCAACTATCATGATCAACCATAAATACATTTTCTTGGGCATTTTACATTTTTGCAATGATTTTGGTGTGGTTGGTCACTATTTTGCTTTATCCTCAATGGAATATAATGTTAAAGAAAATTTGTGGGTGGCTTTGTAGGGAAGAGAGCCAGTTTGAAGTGGTGGTTAAGGCACCAGGCTAGAAACTGGGAGACCATGAGTTGTAGTCCCACCTTAGGCACAAAACCAACTGGGTGACCTTGGGCCAGTCATTCTCTCTCAGCCCTAGGAAGCAGGCAGTGGCAAACCACTTCCGAAAATCTTGCTAGGAAAGCTGCAGGGACTTAGTCCAGGCAGTCACCAGAAGTAAATCCTGACTTAAAGGCGTATATGTGTGTGTGTGTGTGCATGTGTGTGTGTGTGTGTGTGTGTGTGTGGATGGATGGATGGATAGATAGATAGATAG